GTCCCGATTAGCCTTGCTTTTGTCGCCGAGGCATTGGTATACGGAGCAGCGAATAACCTGTAGGCTCCGATCTGGCTGGCTTTCACCGGTCTGTTCGGTGGGCGCTGGACTGGCTCCCTTCTCGCGCCGTTCTAGGGCGGCGCGGTTGGGTGACTGGGCCGTTGTCTTTGATTTGGCGGGTTTTTTCTTTTTTTGTCCATCTGCCTCCTTGGCGGGGGTTTGAAGTAGTGTGTTGCCAGGGTCTTCCGTGGCCGCCACGGTGTTGCCTCCCGGCCGCCTGACCAACGATCGCCCTTGCGAAGACCCCCTCGAGGGCTTTGAGGACGTCGGGGTGCTGCATGGCCTCCGTGAAGGTCGGGACTGGAGGAGTAGGGGCTTGAGTTCCCTGTTGGACACGGCGGGAGGTTCCCTCGCCGTTGCGCCGGCGAGACTGAGCGCCGGATTGCTGTGTTGACTCGTCGCGAGCGGATGAAGTCATATCTGGCTGAGTTCCGGAGCAGAGATGATTGGGAACGGAAGAAAATATGATGTAGTGTTAAACACAAGGTCGAAAACGTTGACACCAAGTAACTTATGGTGCCCTTCCTCTAGCGTCAAACTGTTGACGAGCGTTTTCGGTCAACGGTTAATATGGAAAATATTGAAGGTGCGAGACTGGAAATGGAAAAGAGATATAATTTAATTACGATTTTATTAAATGATCACGAGGTCGGCCTCTCGTACGAGGTCGGCACTTATGATATACTTACAATTCTTACAAAAGATTTCTTACAGTTTTAGAGAGAGAAAGTAGGAAGAAGCTAGAGTTAGTTGAGGTTTCAACAACCCAAAATAAATGAAGCAATGGGCTATTTATAGTGTCATTTAATTCCACTGTTTCGGCACTGTTTGCTGTCTTGTCACACAGTGAATCTACAGTCCTGGTCAGCGCTTTTCTGACAGATCATTAAATGTGATTTGAGCTCTTCCAATCATTACTTATGTGGGCATTAAATGCTCACATGGGCAGCATTTAATGCTATCACCTTTTCTCCTTGG